TGCCAGGGCAGCCAGAGGCTATGGTTGTTGGCCCACTCATTGGATAGTGTGGTCACTTACACTCTGTCCGGGCTAATGTCACAATTGTCTGATCACTGTCATTCCATTTAGGGTCATGGTTTATGATTGTTATACTCCAGTCAAGGTTCCAGTGGGATGTGCTCACTATTACTGGCTGGTCTCTGACACTTATGGCTAGTCAACACTAGACAGCTCTCTGGCTCTTATGGCTAGTTGACACCAGACAGGTCTCTGACACTTATGGCAATGGGAAACCAAACAGCTCTCTGACACTTATGGCAAGTTGACACCAAACAGCTCTCTGACACTTATGGCAAGTTGACACCAGACAGCTCTCTGACACTTATGGCAAGTTGACACCAGACAGCTCTCTGACACTTAAGGCAAGTCAACATCAGACAGCTGTCTGGCTCTTATGGCAAGTCGACACCAGACAGCTGTCTGACACTTATAGCACCTGATGGGTTGAATAGGGGGGTGGGGGGAGTGGCTAGGAACTACAAGTAAACTCCCTGACTTGAAGACACATAATGTATTGGCTCATTTGTCCAGGGTATTGTCCAGATAGATCTTAGAGACTGAGAATCAGTTTGTGCAATGTAGAGGAGACGGTCCCTGCTGATAGTGCATGGGATACAGGGACAAACCCTGCTGATAGGGCATGGGATACAAGGAAATTCCTTGCTGATAGTGCATGGGATACAAAGATAGTCCCTGCTGATAGTGCATGGGATACAAAGATAGTCCCTGCTGATAGTGCATGGGATACAAAGATAGGCGCTGCTGATAGTGCATGGGATACAAAGATAGTCCCTGCTGATAGTGCATGGGATACAAAGATAGTCCCTGCTGACAGTGCATGGGATACAAAGATAGTCCCTGCTGATAGTGCATGGGATACAAAGATAGTCCCTGCTGATAGTGCATGGGATACAAAGATAGACCCTGCTGATAGTGCATGGGATACAAGGATAGACCCTGCTGATAGTGCATGGGATACAAGGATAGACCCTGCTGATAGTGCATGGGATACAAAGACAGTCCCTGCTGATAGTGCATGGGATACAGGGACAAACCCTGCTGATATTGAATGGGATACAGGGACAAACCCTGCTGATAGTGCATGGGATACAGGGACAAACCCTGCTGATAGTGCATGGGATACAAGGATAGTCCCTGCTGATAGTGCATGGGATACAAGGATAAACCCTGCTGATAGTGCATGGGATACAAGAATAGTCCCTGCTGATAGTGCATGGGATACAAGGATAGTCCCTGCTGATAGTGCATGGGATACAAGGACAGTCCCTGCTGATAGTGCATGGGATACAAGTATAGTCCCTGCTGATAGTGCATGGGATACAAGGATAGTCCCTGCTGATAGTGCATGGGATACAAGGATAGTCCCTGCTGATAGGGCATGGGATACAAGGATAAACCCTGCTGATAGTGCATGGGATACAAGGATAGTCCCTGCTGATAGTGCATGGGAGACAAGGACAGTCCCTGCTGATAGTGCATGGGATACAAGGATAGTCCCAGCTGATCGTGCATGGGAGACAAGGACAATCCCTGCTGACAGGGCATGGGATACAAGGAAATTCCTTGCTGATAGTGCATGGGATACAAGGATAGTCCCTGCTGATAGTGCATGGGACACAAGGATAGTCCCTGCTGATAGTGCATGGGATACAAAGATAGTCCCTGCTGATAGTGCACAGGATACAAGGATAGTCCCTGCTGATAATGCATGGGATACAAGGACAGTATCTGCTGATAGTGCATGGGATACAGGGACAAACCCTGATGATAGTGCATAGGATACAGGGACAAACCCTGCTGATAGTGCATGGGATACAAGGACATTCCCTGCTGATAGTGCATGGGAGACAAGGACATTCCCTGCTGATAGTGCATGGGAGACAAGTACAGTCCCTGCTGATAGTGCATTGGATACAAAGACATTCCCTGCTGATAGTGCATGGGAGACAAGTACAGTCCCTGCTGATAGTGCATGGGAGACAAGTACAGTCCCTGCTTATAGTGCATGGGATACAGGGACAAACCCTGTTGATAGTGCATGCGAAACAAGGAAAGTCCCTGCAGATAATGCATGGGATACAAGGAAAGTCCCTGCAGATAATGCATGGGATACAAGGAAAGTCCCTGCAGATAATGCATGGGATACAAGGAAAGTCATTGCTGATAGTGCATGGGATACAGGGACAAACCCTGCTGATAGTGCATGGGATACAAGGAAAGTCCCTGCTGATAGTGCATGGGATACAGGGACAAACCCTGATGATAGTGCATAGGGTACAGAGACAAACCCTGCTGATAGTGCATGGGATACAGGGACAAATCCTGATGATAGTGCATGGGATTCAGGGACAAACCCTGCTGATAGTGCATGAGAGACAAGTACAGTCCCTGCTGATAGTGCATGGGATACAGGGACAAACCCTGCTGATAGTGCATGGGATACAGGGACAAACCCTGCTGATAGTGCATGAGATACAGGGACAAACCCTGCTGATAGTGCATGGGAGACAAGGATAGTCCTTGCTGATAGTGCATGGGAGACAAGTACAGTCCCTGCTGAGGGATCATGGGATATCAGGACAATAATTGCTGATAGTGCATGGAATACAAGCATGTCAGCTCTGTAACCACCTTTCTCCAATCATTTCATGATATACTCCCAGATGATTGAGAATGTATTGATGACATACACAATTAATGCTGCCTGCTTGATGTTGCCTTTTGCTGTCTTGGCTTTGCCTTGTGCACAGACCATAGTTTTCAATTATATGATGCAAGCAGCCGTTGATGTTGTAGTTTGTACAGTCACATTTCTGCATTGCCCTCTAATCATATATGGCTCTTTGCTTCAATCAGTTTTCTTCTTGTTCTTGTTTAAGCAGTCGGGCACCAGTACTTCTGGTATGATCAAATAAGCATTACTTATCTTAGATGTTTCCATGTATAACAGCTGCCTTTTTCATATGCACAAATCAAATATGGACACTAGGTGTGTAATATGGTCAGCATTACGCCGGCCGCCTTTACTTTCCCAGGGCATCCATCCTGGTACCCTATTAAGGCTGGGTCAACTTGCGACACCGCACACCACGATAACAATCCATGCGCTATACAATGTAAATCCACATTAATTAGACTCCATTGTACTATTTACATTATTCAGTTAGATTTATTATAGTCTTCACAGACAGTTAGTGTTTGGATTTACAGGTACAACTTGATTTCAGCTAAACATTTTTGATCAGATCTATTATTACGATTAAACTGTACTTTTTGATGCAGATCAACTTTCAAGATCTAATAGTTCTAGTTACTTGTGATTTATATTGTTTCAAACCAACCATAATATTTAGAGTTAACTGAATTATTTAGATTATGTTATGTTGTTTAGGTTCAACTATATATAGTTAAGATTCAGCTATACTGTTTAGGTTCAACTTTTTATTGTTAAGATCCTGTTTAGATGCAACTGTGTCTTGCATTTCACTCACTCACACACACACACACAGACACATACACACAGGCGCGCACACACACACACACACACACAAGCTTCCATGTAAACTCAAACTTCTGCAGACACATTGCCACTCTCTCTCTCCGTTACCCCCCTCCCACCAACCTTCTCTCTCTCTGTCTCACACACACGTGTGCGCTCGCTCACACACCTGTAGCAACTATCTGACTATATACCACTGCCGCGCTCGCTCACACACCTGTAGCAACTATCTGACTATATACCACTGCTGCGCTCGCTCACACACCTGTAGCAACTATCTGACTATATACCACTGCCGCGCTCGCTCACACACCTGTAGCAACTATCTGACTATATACCACTGCCGCGCTCGCTCATACACCTGTAGCAACTATCTGACTATATACCACTGCCGCGCTCGCTCACACACCTGTAGCAACTATCTGACTATATACTACTGCCGCGCTCGCTCACACACCTGTAGCAACTATCTGACTATATACCACTGCCGCGCTCGCTCACACACCTGTAGCAACTATCTGACTATATACCACTGCCGCGCTCGCTCACACACCTGTAGCAACTATCTGACTATATACCACTGCCGCGCTCGCTCACACACCTGTAGCAACTATCTGACTATATACCACTGCCGCGCTCGCTCACACACCTGTAGCAACTATCTGACTATATACCACTGCCGCGCTCGCTCGCACACCTGTAGCAACTATCTGACTATATACCACTGCCGCGCTCGCTCACACACCTGTAGCAACTATCTGACTATATACCACTGCCGCGCTCGCTCGCACACCTGTAGCAACTATCTGACTATATACCACTGCCGCGCTCGCTCGCACACCTGTAGCAACTATCTGACTATATACCACTGCCGCGCTCGCTTACACACCTGTAGCAACTATCTGACTATATACCACTGCCGCGCTCGCTCACACACCTGTAGCAACTATCTGACTATATACCACTGCCGCGCTCGCTCACACACCTGTAGCAACTATCTGACTATATACCCCTGCCGCGCTCGCTCACACACCTGTAGCAACTATCTGACTATATACCACTGCCAGTCATTGCAAGAAACAGTATGATCTCCATAGTTAGACTAGTACTGTCTGCATGGTCTTAGGCTAGTACTGTTTTCTGACTATGCAGCTGTCAGCTAGTACAAGAGACAGTACTGTCTGCATGGTCTTAGGCTAGTACTGTTTTCTGACTATGTAGCTGTCAGCTAGTACAAGAGACAGTACTGTCTGCATGGTCTTAGGCTAGTACTATTTTCTGACTATGCAGCTGTCAGCTAGTACAAGAGCCAGTACTGTCTGCATGATGTTAGGCTAGTATTATTGTCTGTTTGCAAATGGACTGTTCGAGTTGTGAATAAAATGTTCTCCATGCATTCTTCATTGATGTGTCATTTGTTTGCTCACATTCTGTTTAGTTGTTGAGAGGAATCGATCTGAGGACAAAGTTCGTTGGGACTGGAGGCTGATCTTCAAGAAGATCTCTGCAGGACTAGCTGCAGCTATGGAAACCCGGCTGGACATCACCATGGCTACCACGCTGGCACATGAAGCTGCTCTGTGGGCCAGGGATCATGTCCTGGAGACCACAGCGCTGACCCTGGTCCACTGGAATGATGGGCTTGATCTGCCACCGGTGGTCTCCAAGGTCAGAGGATTTATTACTTTCTATGTGTCTTATATTGTTGTGTGTCTCCGCAAACATGCATCGCATCACACAGACTGATCCATCTGCCACCGGTGGTCTCCAAGGTCAGAGGATATATTACTTTCTATGTGTCTTATGTTGTGTGTCTCCGCAAACATGCATCGCATCACACAGACTGATCTATCTGCCACCGGTGGTCTCCAAGGTCAGAGGATATATTACTTTCTATGTGTCTTATGTTGTGTGTCTCCGCAAACATGCATCGCATCACACAGACTGATCTATCTGCCACCGGTGGTCTCCAAGGTCAGAGGATATATTACTTTCTATGTGTCTTATGTTGTGTGTCTCCGCAAACATGCATCGCATCACACAGACTGATCTATCTGCCACCGGTGGTCTCCAAGGTCAGAGGATATATTACTTTCTATGTGTCTTGTGTTGTGTGTCTCCGCAAACATGCATCACATCACACAGACTGATCTATCTGCCACCAGTATTCTCCTAGGTCAGATGATACCTTACTGTCTTACTTTCTATGTGTCTTATGTTGTGTGTCTCCGCAAACATGCATCACACCACACCAGACTTGGTGTTCAGTAAAAGAAACAACATATTACAGCTGTTTATAAAAAAGAAGTGTCGCTGCAGTAACATATTACAGCTGTTTATAAAAAGGAAGTGTCACAGCAGTAACATATTACAGCTGTTTATAGAAAGGAAGTGTCGCCCCAGTAGCATATTACAGCTGTTTATAAAAAGCTAGTGTCTCCGCAGTAAAATATTACAGCTGTTTATAAAATGGAAGTTTTGCTGCAGTAAACATGCAGTTTTCTATGTAGTCTGTTGTCTTGTGTAATGACCTCAGGTGATTGAACAGTAAATGCATGTGCCAGTTTTACTCACTTAGCTCCAGATAATCTACTTGACAGGAAACAAGACTGAAAGTGTCTGTTGTAGTTGATTAACTCTTGTAGAACCTTGAAGAGAGAAAACAAAGGTGTGAGTTTCTGCTTTAGTGAATTACTTCTGACATGATCAGCTTGAGGGAGGACTCAATGTTTCCCTCGATAAACTGTGTCTGGTATGTCATAGTCAGATAGCTGTGATCCTGCTTCAGTGTGCAGTTTATCAACATTCTAAATATGTGTCAGTTGCCCATAAACTTTTTTTCAGCAGTATTTGTTTTCGCATATATACATCCACATATTGCCAGTAGGAAAGGTGGCAATGCTAAACATTGCATCTTGTGTTCTGATGTTGCAGGACACCAATGATTTCATCCAGGTTGTTGATGAGTTGCTGCCCCTGGCCAGGGCTGGCCTAGAAGGATGTTTGGCCCCAGTGAGGACAGCCTTCATTGACTCTCTGGGGATTGCTGTGAAGAACTTCCACCTCCACTGTGTTACCGTACGTATCCACCGATTTACCTGTTGTTTTGTTGTGAGTAAAGTCAAGTCTTAGGTTACACACTCCACAACTGGACCAATGTTTTGTGTGTGCGTGTGCAGCATATATACCTGCATACATCAGCAACTGTTTTAGTACATTAGCTACCGTAGACAGCCAGTTGTTTTAGTACAGTTGATATCCCAGACTCAGCCAGTTGTTTCAGTACATGTGATATCCCAGACTCAGCCAGTTGTTTCAGTACATGTGATATCCCAGTCTCAGCCGGTTGTTTTAGTACATTAGCTATCCTAGACTCAACCAATTGTTTCAGTACATGTGATATCCCAGACTCAGCCAGTTGTTTCAATACATGTGATATCCCAGATTCAGCCACATTTTTAGTACATGTGATATCCCAAACCCAGACAGTAGTTTCATTGAGCAGGACATCTGTAAAACTGCCTTTTGAAATGCACAGCACTTGGTATGACTGCCTGTATTTGTCACCGCTGTCAGGTGGGTGACGAGCCTGGAGATTTAGGGTTACATGGCTAGTGCAGTCTTCAAGGACTCTACAGGTTAGGTTTTTTTTTAGCCCCGACTGAAAGAATTTCTTAACTCACTGTGCATTCAGACCTTGTCTCCCAGAATCTCTAAACTCACTGTGTGCATTCAGACCTCGTCTCCCAGAATCTCTAAACTCACTGTGTGCATTCAGACCTCATCTCCCAGAATCTCTAAACTCACTGTGTGCATTCAGACCTCAACTCCCAGAATCTCTAAACTTACTGTGTGCATTCAGATCTCGTCTCCCAGAATCTCTAAACTCACTGTGTGCATTCAGACCTCGTCTCCCAGAATCTCTAAACTCACTGTGTGCATTCAGACCTCGTCTCCCAGAATCTCTAAACTCACTGTGTGCATTCAGACCTCGTCTCCCAGAATCTCTAAACTCACTGTGTGCATTCAGACCTCGTCTCCCAGAATCTCTAAACTTACTGTGTGCATTCAGACCTCAACTCCCAGAATCTCTAAACTTACTGTGTGCATTCAGGCCTCGTCTCCCAGAATCTCTAAACTCACTGTGTGCATTCAGACCTCAACTCCCAGAATCTCTAAACTTACTGTGTGCATTCAGACCTCGTCTCCCAGAATCTCTAAACTCACTGTGTGCATTCAGACCTCGTCTCCCAGAATCTCTAAACTCACTGTGTGCATTCAGACCTCGTCTCCCAGAATCTCTAAACTCACTGTGTGCATTCAGACCTCGTCTCCCAGAATCTCTAAACTCACTGTATGCATTCAGACCCTCGTCTCCCAGAATCTCTAAACTACTGTGTGCATTCAGACCTCAACTCCCAGAATCTCTAAACTTAACTGTGTGCATTCAGGCCTCCGTCTCCCAGAATCTCTAAAACTCACTGTGTGCATTCAGACCTCAACTCCCAGAATCTCTAAAATTACTGTGTGCATTCAGACCTCGTCTCCCCAAAAGAATCTCTAAACTCACTGTGTGCATTTCAGACCTCGTCTCCCAGAATCTTCTAAACTCACTGTGTGCATTCAGACTCCAACTCCCAGAATCTTAAAACTTAATGTGTGATTCAGACCTCAACTCCAAGAATCTCTAAAACTAACTGTGTGCATTCAGGACCTCAAATCCCAGAATCTCTAAACTCACTGTGTGCATTCAGACCTCAACTACCAGAATCTCTAAACTCACTGTGATCGCAATCAGGCCTCGTCTCCCACTGAAGGTCCAGTATTCTGAAAGTGTTATAGGACAGGGACACACAAGTAAAACATTTGTAGACATTCACTAGTTGTTGGATCCAGTGGTAGGTACATAAGTAGACGTGTTGTCTTGTTTCCTTTAGTTAAGCAAGGAATACCCCACAAGGCCAGCCTCAAACAGTTTGATATATCTCAAATGCCTGTTCAGGAATACCCGCAGCAGTGGAGGGGCCGTCCGTCCCCCGAAGACAACGGGTGGGTTTTTGGGGCTTTTGGTCTCTGCCTTTTTGTAAAACAGACCGGTCACAGGACATGGACACATCTTTTCTCTCTCTTTTAAACAAAACCCGGACAACAGTCTTATTTCTCTTGTAAAAAAAACAAGGACACACAGTCTTAATCCCC